GAACACATTCAATATAGCTAGGCTAAGCTATGGTGTTTGGTAGGTTAGGTATATAAATGCATTTTACACTTACAATATTTTCAACTTATGTATCCCCTTCATAATTGGAGGAGTATCTATATAGCGAGTATCCAAAAGGCCTATATCTAACTAAACTGTTTATTTATAATGCTTAGCAGTGTTTAGTGTATAGGAAGTGCTCAAGATAAAAAAAAAAAACACAAAACATACTCATGAAGTTGTTGTGAGAATTAAATAAATCCATTAGACTCTTAACTACTCCAAGTGTGGTAGTCCTTAGACTAGAGATAACACATCACCCAGGACCTAGTTAGAAATGTAATCTTGGGGCCGGATGCGGTGGCTCATGCCTGCAACTAGCACCTTGAGAGGCTGAGGTGAGAGAATTGCTAGAGCCCAGGAGTTCAAGACCAGTCTAGGCAACATAACAAAACCTTGTCTCTACAAAAAATATAAAATTAGCCAGGCATGGTGTTGCACACCTGTAGTCCCCACTACTCAGAAGACTGAGGAGAAGCATCACCTAAGTCCTAGATAGAAAGAAAGAAAGAAAGAAAGAAGGAGAGAAAGAAAGAAAGAAAGAAAGAAAGAAAGAAAGAAAGAAAGAAAGAAAGAAAGAAAGAAAGAAAAGAAAAGAAATATAGTCTTGGGGCCCATCCCATGTTTAGTGAATTCAAATCTGCCGTTTCACAAGATACTCAGAGGATTCATATTCTCATTAAAGTTTCAGAAGTACTGTACTAGATATAAGTTTCAATGTGTACTTAATAATATTTGTTGCCGGGCTTGGTGGCTCAGCCTGTAACCCCGGACCTTTGGGAGGCTGAGGTAAGTGAATTGCCTGAGCCCGCGGGTTCGAGACCCGCCTGGGCAACTTGGCGAGACCTCATCTCTACTATAAATAAGAAAATCAACCGGGCGTGGCAGCGCGTGCCTGTAGTTCCAGCTACTTGGAAGGCTGAGGCGGAAGGATCGCCGGAGCCCAGCAGGTTGAGGCTGCGGTGGCCGGGAGTGACCACTGTACTCCAGTCTGGGTGACAGAGTGAGATTCCAACTCAAAAAAAAAGGAAAAGAAAAAGAGACCTATCGGCACAGTGTGTTAGATACTAGAATCTGGCTGAGCTAAGGAGGAAGGAAACACAATCTGAGGCACCAAATGAACTTAGAAGTTCCTCACATGCTTTCTGCATGAAAGTAAGTGAAAATTTTAAAAAGTTCCTCAAATGTAAAATAAATCCCAAACTTTACAGAGCTGGCACTGTTTCTAAAATCAGATAATGCCTCGAAGGGAGAAGGGGCCGTCTTCATTAAGGATTATCAATTCCAGAAGCACACCTGGAGCACTGAACTGAAAACTGGACCGGAACCAGGGTCTACGGTTCCAGGTAAGACAACTGGCTTCTCTGAGTCTCAACGTCCCATCTGTAAAGGAAGAGAATGAAGTCTACCCTACTGCCTCGCCAGGCTATGAAGCAACACACAAGTGTAAGAACGGCGCCGCTATCACTATAACGTCCAGCTGCTACTGGCTGGTCAGCAATCTTAACCTTCTCTCTCCTTGAAGTTTGTAACAGACTTCTTTTTCTCTGAAAAGAAGGATTAGTTTAAAAGCAAGGCGTATCAGCAGGATCCTCGGAGGCAGCTAAGGAGAATTTGGCGAAGGGACCATCGCAAAGCTGTGGGCAAGATGAAGGGGTCCAGGAAGGGCTGGGGCAGCACCCAAGCGCGAGGCCCTCTCAAGCCCAGGCCTGAAGAGGAGGGCAGGGAGGGGGCAGTGACTGGAAACACACTGAGAACCACCAGATAGGACTGCGGTCTCTGACAGAGGGCACAGGGCTGACGTGAGGAGAACGCAGGCAAGGAAGGAGGCTGCAGGAAGAACTGCAACCTCTGGCCTTCGGACAGCGCCTCACACGCGTCACACCAACCCCTGCTGTGGCGAGTCAGGAGTGGACACGGAGAGGCGAAGGAGACACCCAGCACATCTGTGTGAATCAGGAGCACTTCTCGGTCACCTTCCACGCTCTGTTTTACGGGTAAGTGAAAACGGAGTGACACTTCAGCCAGAAAACATGGAGTCCAATGCAAAACTTCAAATGAGACGTGTTTATGAGAGACTCCGTCCTCAGTCTTCCCTGCTTGGGTTCTGGTTAGAAATGGCACAGTCCTACAAAGCCACACGAAAGAGGACTCATCTTACCTCTCTGAAAAAGACGTCTGCGGGAGTCAGGTTGGAGGGGACCTCACACTCCCTTTTGTTCAGAGCGATCAACAGAGCCGTGTTCACGAGGTCGGGGAGCCGGGAGTGGTGGTTCTTGAGGACAATGGCGGCAGACAGCTTTTCGGCATGCTCACAGAGCAGCAGCTGTGTCTCCATCGGCACCTCCCTAACTGGGAAAGTGCTCAGACGTTCAAACAGGCCGACCTGCGGAAAGACAAGCACACACTCCTGGAGAGCACTTCTGGGAACACGCCAAACAGCACAGCACACTTCCCTGAAGGCACAGGGGCGCAGCCACGGCCCTTGCTCTCTCCAGCAAGTACCTGCCACTGCTCCCCGTTCTGGCTGATTCCATACACTTCATTCACCCAAGCCATTAACATCCAGAAGAAAGCGTCCATGCTCCTGGCCTAAGACTAGGGTGACTTCAGAGCTTCTGCCACGACTGTTGCCACTGTCTGTCATGTTTCCCAAATTACGGTGTACAGTTATCAGAATAGTCCTACTGGTCTTTTCTATCTGTGTCAATAAACTCCTCCAGATCCCAGACTTCTGGGAACTAGAAACTCAGCAGCCTCCAACTTCAAGGACTGACTTCCAGAACCTACAGGTGTAGGGGGAGTGCTTTAAATCTCCTACTTTTGATTTGCCTGATGCCCATTTCTGGTGATTTACCAGGTGCTAGAGTTTTCCTAAGCTTTCTCATTTGAGATAATGTTACAGCAACCTGAACTAGGAAGAAGCCAAGAGACAGACATAATCAATGAATATTTTTTCACATTTTAGTTATGTAATTCCCTTTCATCAAGTAATCTGAAAGAGAATTATTATTATTTTTTTTAAGAAACAGGGTCTCGCTCTGTGGCCCAGGCTGGAGAGCAGTGACACAATTATAGCTCACTGCAGCCTCCAATTCCTGGGCTTAAGTGATCCTCCCACTTCAGCCTCCTGAGTAGGTGAGAGTACAAGGCATGCGCCACCGCACCTGGCTAATTTTTAAAAAATTAATTTGTAGCCGGGCTCAGTGGCTCAGCCTGTAATCCCGCGCCTTTGGGAGGCTGAGGCGAGTGGACTGCCTGAGCCCGCAGGTTCGGGACCCACCTAGGCAGCGAGACCTCATCTCTACAATAAATCAAAAAATCAGCCAGGCGTGGTAGCGCGTGCCTGTAATTCCGGCTACTCGGATCCCGGAGCCCAGCACGTGAGGCTGCGGTGGCCGGGAATGGCCACTGCACTCCAGTCTGGGTGACCGAGTGAGACTCCAACTCAATGAAAAAAAAAAACGAAAACAAAACAAACAAACAAAAATTAATCTGTAGAGATAGGGTCTCATTATGTTGCCTAGGCAGTCACAAACTCCCGGTCTCAAGCAATACTTCCGCCTCGGCCAGGCATGAGTCACCATACCGAGCTGTATCCTTACATTTTTATGGTATTTACATGCTAGGACATATCTTTTTTAAAACACAAAAGTGGCCACACTATATATATTGTTCTACACTTTGTTTTATTTGATAGTACGTCATTTTTCCATATCACATTTAGACATTCATTATTTTTAAGACTGAAATTTGTCATTGAATCAGTCTTAATTTTATTCAATCTGTTCACCTGAATATTTGAAAATAGGAGTTACATAAGTCTTTCCTCATCTAAATTCACTATCTGTTTTCCTAAGAAATCTTTAAAGGCCAGGTGCGGTGGCTCAAGCCTGCAATCCCAGCACTTTGGGAGGCTGAGATGAGAGCACTGCCTGAGCCCACAGGTTCGTGACCAGACTGGGCAACGTGCTGAGACCCTGTCTCTACAATAAAAATAAAAAAATTAGCCGGGTGTGGTAGCACGTGCCTGTAGTTCTGGTTACTTGGAAGGCTGAGGCGGAAGGATCGCCAGAGCCCAGCAGGTTGGCGCTGGGGTGGCCCTAAGTGTGCCACGGCACCCTAGCCTGGGTGAGGAGTGAGACTCTAACTCAAAAAAAAAAAAGAAATCTTTCTAGCTTTCATGCAAGGCCATCCCAGCTGCCTGCTTTATATTGCCCCAGTACGGAAGCACTGACAGCGAAGCAGAGGTTCGATCAAAATCCCTACAGTCACACAGCGAAGGCGATGGGCTTCACTCCCTGCTTCTGCTTCTTCACACGACGTGCAGCACCAGACAGCCCCAGGCAGAAGTCGTGTTCTGAGGCCCTGGTATTTCTCCGTCCCCTTTCAGAAAAAGGCCCTGGCCTCGCTGGCACCAAGTGTGGGTTGGGAAGATAAGCCCTACATTTAGGAATATATCCTTAGAATGAGTGATCTAGTTATACGCTTTTCCTATTAACATAAATGCTTCTTGACGGTGAGATACACAATTACAGGAGACAGAAATATAAAAAGTACAGCAAGACGGGGTCTTCAGAGTGACTCGGACACTGTCTTGCAAGGACCACTGCTCCCAGCAGCTGTGGGACTTCGCTCGGGTCTCGGGAGTCCAGGGAGCCTGTACCATGACAGGCTGCAATGCTCACGCTCTTGAGGCTTTCTGGCCTCTGACCAATCAGGGCGCACTCAGCGTGGCAGATTCGGCCAGGGCCACGAGCTCTTCTCAGTCCAACACGCACACCCGTTAACGACCCCTCAAGAAGTAGAATCAGTTCCTGAAACCTTTTCACCTCGGCTGGCCTTGAGATTTTCTTGGACCAATGTCACTCTGTGGGCAGTCACACTACGCGACATCTGAGATGAGCCTTGGGAAGCTTCCAGCCTCCATGTTCACCCCTGCAAATGCTGCCCTGAGACCACAGCGAGTCAGCCAGGCTAACGGAGGATGGGAGACTCGGTGGAGGAGAGGCACACGGCCCCGCTGACCACCAGCAATAACTGCCAGAGAGGAGAGCTAGGCCGTCGAAGCCTCAGTCCACCCTTGATGGAGGTCAAGGGACACATGCAGGTGAAAGCAGCAGCAGAACTGCCTGGCTAACCCACAGAACCATTTTAAGCCATCACGTTTTGGGGTGGTTTGTGACATAATTGTTAACTAACACACGTGGCTAATTAAATGACTTTATCAGGAGAAAAAGGTATGTTTTTTCCCCATTAATTCACAGCCCACCTAAAATACTAGGGGGGGAAAAGACTCAATGAACAATTAGAGCTTTCTTGCCAAGACAACAAAAGAGTAGACAGAAGCCAAACTATGCATTAAAACTGAAGCAGAATGTGGAATGAGGAGTAATCCACTCCGTTCTGGAATCATCTAGAGCTGCACTGTCCAATAAGATAGCCCCTGTCCATAATGGCCATACAAGTTGAAGTCAGTTAAATTAAGTTTTAGAAAGTTTAGCTCTTCGATTGCACTAGTCACATTTCAACTGCTCATTGGCCACATATGGCAATCCTGCTGGACAACACAAATATAGAACATCCTTATCATGATAGAAAATTCTACTAGAGAGCATTGATCAGAATCTCCTTCACATGGAAGCATTACCAAGTCTGAATAACAACAACAACAAAAGAACCAAAAACAGAATGAAATTCATTCATTTGGATATATCATATGCCTGGGAGCTACTATTTATTGACAAGGCAAGGATGGGAGAATTTATGTAACAACTCTGTCCAACAGCAAAAACATCTCCTAATTTAGACTCAATATATATGGAGATACCCCACTATAAAAAAGAAAAAGAGGTTGGATGCAGTTGCTTACAACGGTAATCCCAACACTTTGGAAGGCTGAGGAAGGAGGTTTGCTTAGGCTCAGGAGATCGAGACCAGCCTAGGTAAAACAGCGAGACCCTGTTTCTACAAAATAAAACAAACAAACAAACAAACAAACAAAAAACTTAGCTAGCCATAAGTGGTATACACCTATAGTCCCTCCCAGCTACTTGGGAAGCTGAGGCAGACTGCCTGAGCCTTATGAGGTTGCAGTAAGCCATGATCATGTCACTGCACTCTAGCCTGAGCGACAGAGTGAGACCTTGACTCAAAAATATATAAATTAATTAACTTAGTTAAAAAGAAAGATAACATTTAAATGATTTTACTGTAATGGCAATTAAAAATTAAAAATCTGTCAAAGTGTTAATATTCTTCACTTTCTAATAATATAAACTCATGAAAACTTGAGTTTTTATATGAACACACATAGGAAATCTGAAAGAAATTCTGTTACATATCAAATAAAAGACCTCCACATAGCCCTGGTATTATTTATTTTTAAATCGGCACAAAAAATAAAAAACAGCAGTCATCCCCTCGCCCCCAAGGAAACACCAGGAATAGAGAGAACGGACGACCCACAGTACTGGTGAGACCTGGAGAGAGGCAGACAGATATGCCAGCCTGCCTGGGAAGGCTCTTACCTGGTGAATGAAGTCCATGAAGAAGGAGTGGGCTTTCATCTTGTCTTCTAGTTGGTGAAGAATGATCAGTGATGTATTGCAGAACCCAGGTGCTTCTATTAAAACACAGGAACAAAACTTAAACACGTAACATACAGGTTTTAAGAATTACTGACATCAAAATTAAAAGTTAAGAAAAACTATATAAAAGAAAAGTACCAACCTTTCAACAAAATTATTTACAACATCACTCAGGAATTTAAAATATCAAGACTTTTGGGGGTCTGATGAAAATCACACTGTATTTACTAAAAATGCAAAATGTTATTGTTAGCTTAATATCATTTGTGTAATTTTTTTTTTTTTTTTTTT